AGTAATTGAATAATAAGACACCGTACATCAATTTTATTTAACTTGACGCCATTTACTGATATCAAGTCATTTATACAAGTAATAGCAATATACATATCACTAAAGTAAAGTTAGTTAACATCAAAGCACAAAGAAAAATACCATTTAGATTTTATCTTTTAAAATATTATATTTAATTTGCAAAGAAGTTTTTTTTTCAAGGAGCGCGCTCACACTTGACACCTTTTTTTTACTTTCTTTTTAAAGTCAATTTTGTAACGATTAAATCTATTCCCTAAGGTACATTCTTCTACGTTCTCAAATATTTCAAAATTTACCTTATCAATTTCTTTTGTACCCGTAGTCTCTCCCCTTATGACTTCCTTTAAAGTTTTTCCACATTAACAGGATCAGCAAGATTCCGCATTACAGGATCATTTTTATTATTATCTATCATGTTTTCTATCTTCTATAATATTCTTTCTTTTTCTTTCTAATTATCTTTACTACGGCATTCCTTTCAATTTTAAACTGCAACCAGTCTTGTTCATTGCACGTATATATCGCCCTCTCGTATGCTTCCCTTTTCTTTGTAGCTACTCTTTTATCATCCGAATACCATTTTTTCCCTTCCCATATCTTTAGAATTTTAAACTTTTTCTTTAGTGCTACAATATTTAATGCCGCTACCATATTCTGAACAAATTTCTCTGCTCTTTTATTTACCTCTTATCTGTTAGCTCTAATTTCTCCTCTACTACATATAAAAATTCATCTATAAATTTGCTATAGTCTCTACTAATAAATTTTTTGTATTTTTCATTGTTATTACTTATATTAAGTTCCACACTTAACCATGAATGATCCGTTATCTTTGGCTTATCATATACTTTGCAGTTTACCTTAGTATTCGTGAAAACTAAATCTATCAAAGTTTAACTATTTTTAGTGATTCTAGTCGGTTTGTCTACGTATTGTTTCATACTCAAGTATAACATTTCCTTTACTAGCTTCTTCGCATAAGACATATCCGTCATCTATATTAAAATCACCGAACATAATACATTGATCTTTTATTACTACGAGATCCATTATGTCCTCTAGAAATCTTATGAAGTCACCATCTGATGCACTCGGTGAATGATACACACACATAATCACACCTTTGTACATACTATTTCTCATCTCAATCGCTACACACCAGCAGTTCGATGCTATCTTTTCCTTTACTATTACCTCATATTTAAGAGAGAGAGAGAGAGAGAGAGAGAGAGAGAGAGAGAGAGAGAGATTGATTTTTAGCTACCGTAGCTACATTTAAAGTGTTCACAAACTATAAAGTATTACTTAATCTTATGACTACTATACGACTTCAAACTTTGATACTTCTTCTATTATTGTACTAACTCTTTTTCAATGTCTCTAATGTATGACACTAGCGCTCTCCTAAAATTATGCAGTCTTAGCTCTTTTTTAATTTCGTTTGGTAATTTATTATACATTTAAAACCCATCATATAAAAACCTTTTTTTTCCTCTTTTGTCTTACAGCTGCTTACAAGTAAAGTACCTCTTTGTCTAGTTTGTACTCCTCCCTCGCTTCTCACTAAATCAATTTTATTCTTTAAGTAACTTGGACATTCTCCAATTCCATCTTGTGTATAAAATATAAATATGCAAACATTGTATATAATTCTTTGTTTGACCGACATAAATTGCAGTGCCTCCAACATGTTCTTAATTCTTACTCTAATATTGCAACGTAATATAATTCTCAGCCTTTATTTTGCAATTTTTGTAGGTATTGCATATTAGTATCATTCAAGCATAATAAGATAGTCGAGCAATATTCAAATAACGGAGCAACTATTGCGTTGTATACTACGCATCTCATATATGATGTCAAATTCGCGCAAATCCGTCGCAGCACTTCTAGTTTCGATCCAACTTTTTTCCCAAGATAACTTACACGTAAAATTTAAATTATTGTCTATTATAACGCCTAAGTATTTAATTTCATTAACTACTTCTAATATTGCATTTTTATTTTTATATTACTTTCTGTCACTTTTTTTCTTACGCCATAACTTTGGTTTTGTTTATATTTAATTGTAATCTATTAATTTCCAACCATTTCTCAATTCTTTCCATTTGCTCATTTAGATTATCATTTATCTCTTGGCTTGAATACTCTGTTGTATATACTAATGCATCGTCTGCAAATAATCTAATTACACAGTTGCCACAAACACGACTTTATTAAGTCGTTTATATAGAGCAAAAACAATAACGGTTCTAATATCGACCCCTATGGAACTCCCAAACATACGATCTGACAAGATTCCAAATTTTACTCTTTGCGATCTATTTTTCAAGTAACTCTTAAGGGGTTAGTATACCCTGACGAGGAAAAAACAAGCTAATTTTTAGGAATTTTTTTCTGGCAAAATATAAATAATAGATGAAATCCGTTTAAACCATTATCTTTGATATAAATTCAAGTGTCTAAA